CGGGGTCTCAGAAGGGACTCTGGGCATCAGAAAGGAATGCACTGAGCTGAAAGAACCTTGCCTTTGAGGAGCATGAACTATTTATATAATCGAGCCCATTTTCCCTCATGTGTTAGCAGAACCAGACTCCCAACACCACATTCACTGTGGCCATATCTAGGCCAAGTGATTGCACGTGTGTGCCTGTTCACATATGAAATGTTTGAAATTGTCGCGATTAAACATACAAAATAAAGTCGAATCCCTTAGATGATTTATATCCTACACGCTGTTGACTTGTCATTTTGGATGTTTCATCCCCACAGAATGATCTGATCGGTCAGAGTCTGTTTGACTATCTGCACCCGAAAGACATTGCCAAAGTCAAGGAGCAGCTCTCGTCCTCCGACACGGCCCCCCGGGAGCGACTGATCGATGCGAAAAGTGAGTACGGGGAAGGCCGCTGCTCCTCGGCCGCAGCCCAGACCTGTGCCCCCACGGGGTCACGGACCGCAGGCGTCACGGCCTCGGGCTCTGGGTCCCCTCCTCGCCGCCCTTTATCTGGGTCACAGTGCTGTCCTTGCCTAAATGGAATTTCGTACATTCTTTCGCATTTGTTTTTGTTTTGTTTTACGTAAAGAAGAAAAATCTCAACGTCCAAACTCATTGAGAGGAAAAACAGCTACTTTGATTTGATTCTTTCTGACTTTTAGTCCTTTTTTTTTTTCTCAGACTCAGGAAATTCCCAGTTGTATGCCCCTAAGTTTAAAAGGTTCACACCAGTTTGATATGTTTCCACCCAAAAAAAATCATGAGTTGCACACATGCAGCCTCACACAAGTAAGAACACTTGAAATATAGACGGACGTGTCTTTGACTAAAATGGCCCCTCATCAGATAGGCTTCCCTTCGTGGCTTCCTTCTTGCAGCACATCTTTCCCCTTTCCCTGCTCCTGCGTCCCCTCCTGGGCCTCCTCTGTGAGGTCCTGTAGGTCTCTTCTTAAGTCCTATGAGGAGCTGTGCAGTACAGCAGTTACCAGTGTGGGCTCCGGAGTCAGATTGTGGGGCTCACGTCCTGGCTGTACCACTGACCGGCTGTGTGACCTTGAGCAAGTCACTTAACCTCTCTGTGCCTCAGCTTCCTTAAGTGCAAAATAGTGCCCATTTCACTGAGTCATTATGAGGATTAAACATGTTACTATACATAAAGCATGTGGGGCAGTTCCCGGCACACCTAAGCACAGTCTCATTGTTGGTGTTCACCTTGGCCCAGGGCAGTCACGGCCTAACTAGTCTCCTGCCTCCCAGCTCCCTGTTTTTATTCCTGGAGGGAAATGCCACCAGAGGGATTCCCTTTAAACCACCTTTCTTATTAAGGCTCTCCTCTTCTTCCTAAAACTACAGTACAGTTTCTGGTACCTGTTGTCCTTTATAGTCTGACCCTTGCAACAGTTTTTAGTGACTTGAGGGGAAAAAGATATTTGGTCCCTACTTTTAAGGCTCTTACCATATAGTCATGGAGACAAAGAGTCCAACAGCTCCCTGCATAATAGGTGCAGCCACAGAAATAGTGCCAGGCATAGAGAGTGGATGATTAATTCTCATGTGGGCGTGGGGACAGGCATCACCGAGTAGGTGACAACTGAGGTGGGTTTGAAAAGATGAATTAATGTTTGCTGGGTGAGGAAGAGAGGAATAAAACTGAGGAAATGACTTGTGGGTGGGTACAGAGGTGTGGCACCCACTGTGCAGCCTGCTTGATGCTGCTGGGAAAAACCGTGCATGGGAGGGGGAGGGCTGGGCTGCAAAGACCCTTTCATCCGTGGGGACTCAGCAGAGGGCTCTGAGCCAGGTGGGACAGGCTCGGACTGGCATTCTGGGGAGGACCACTGAGGCAGCCGTGTGGGAGGTAGGTTGTGGGGGGTGAGACCCGGGAGGAGCCCTGGCCCCAGCCTTTGCCCGTGGTAGGCAGTGGGGTGAGAGTTACTCCCACGCATGATCTGCAGCAGCAGCTTCTGCAGTGACAGGTAGCCTGTGTTTCTGTCAGGATCATAGTCACGCTCCCCCTCCATAGACTCTAGTTCAGTTGGTTTAACACAGCACAGTCCAGTGGAAACATAATGCAGACCGCAACTATGAGCCACGTTTGCGATTCAAAATTTTCTGGTAGCCACATTAACAATAGTAAAAAGAAACATAAATCTAGTTATAATACTATATTTTATTTAACCCAATAAATCCAAAATGAGATATTTTACCTTTTTTGTACTAAGTCTTTGAAACCCTGAGTGGATGCACACGGCACACCCCACCAGAATACCTGTGTTTCAGGTTGCGACTGCTGCATGCATGGTGGCTGCTGGATTGGACAGCACATATCTAAAGTGGGGTACAGGGATCTGGACTGAGAGCTTAAGGGTGTTTTGCTTTGTCCTTTCCACTTCAGCACCCAAATCCTGCCCATCCTTTAAGTCCCAGCCCAGGTTCTTCCCTGGAAGCACAGGTTGTCGCTGCCATTTGCTGGGCACTAATCATACATCGCCTTGTGTTATTAATTTTTTCACGGTGAACTTCCATTTCCCCTTCTCAGCATGAGCTCCTGCTGGACCGGAACTCTGCGCTATGTTTCCTTTTATCCCTCAGAGCACCCAGCCCATTCACCCAGTGGCTGCATGCCACAAGATCAGTAACATTGCCAGACACCACACCTACCCATACTGCATCCTTTAAGGCCTAACCTGAGGAGGAGAAATGCTATAAAACAGGGAGGCAGGAAAGAAAAGGCTTTCTCCAAGGTCGCACTCCCCCTCCTGACAGACAACACTACTCTCAGTTTATCACATTTTGTGTATTGATTTGCAGCTGGACTTCCAGTTAAAACAGATATAACCCCTGGGCCATCTCGGTTATGTTCTGGAGCACGGCGTTCTTTCTTCTGTAGGATGAAGTGTAACAGGCCTTCAGTGAAGGTCGAAGACAAGGATTTCCCCTCCACCTGCTCAAAGAAAAAAGGTAACCATTTAACAGTTGTGTACAGTCCTTTCACAGGTGAGGCCTGCGTTCGGCACTGGAGCTCCCAGCAGGGGGTTGGCTCAGCGTCTCCCAGCTGGCCAGAGCGCAGGCCCCGGGGCTGCAGCCAGAACCCCACTGTCCCCCCACCTACCGTGTAGGGCGGTGGAGGCAGGGAGAGCTGGAAGCCCCGATGTGCTGTCATGTCGTGGGAAGGCTTCCTCTGTTAAATTCTGCTTGTAATTGGTTGGGAAAGATCACTCCCACCCACAATTCTAACTGTCTCTTAAGCAACCCACCAATCCATCAAAGTTACTCTTGCTAAATTCACCAATGACCTTCATGCTAAATGCAAAGGTCACTTTTCATGTTTCTTCCATCTTAAAGTGTTCCCTTCCTAGGACTCCATGAAACCACATTCTGCTCGCCTCCGTGTCCTCGCCACGCCAGGCTCCCTTCCTCCTGGCGCCTGCTGCTGGCTCCTCTTCTGTCCTGGGCCACCTCCTCTTTTCTGTCTCTGCTCGGTCCATAGGTGACACTGTCTGCTCCCTTAGCTTTCAATGCCGTTTATATGTCAGTAACTTCCACGTTTGTATTTCTAGCCCAGACTTCTCTTTTGAACTCCAGATCCATAAATTAACTGTTTAATAAAATCTACCTGCTTAGGTATCTCAAAGGCATCTCAAACACGATAAATGTAAAAGTAACCACCGGAGCGTCTCCTTAATATAAATGGCAGCAAAACAAATAATAAACCACAACGTAGACTGCCATCCACCCAGCTGCACATACTGGAAGCCCGCGAGGCACTCCCGCCCCAGGCACAAAGCCTTGCCACAGTGAATTCCTTCCGCAGAAGTTACCGAAACACGTCTATCCACCTGCATGCTCACACTGTGGCTAGACCCAGGCTCCACTCCGCTCTCCCCTGGCCTTTGTAAAGTAGCTCCTCACACTTTCCATCTCTCCCCACAGCAGCCAGAAAGACCTTTTTAAAAGCAAATCTTTTTATCAGTTCCCCACCTAAAACCCTTGGACGCTTCCCATTGCTCTTGAAGAACAGTTAAATCCTTCACAGGATTTGTTTTCCACAGTTCCCAGCAACGAGCACAGACCCGATGCCTGGTGATCACCCCATAAGGATATTATTGTTGAAATCCGAGGTGCTCCACTTACTGTGTCCCAGAGTGAAATAAGTGAAATCTTTTCTTCCTCTCTAACACTAACCCTCTTCCCGGAGTCAGTGGACTGCTCCAGCAACCACTCAACCTAAAAAATTAGCAGTCGTCTTCGCTTGCTTTCTTTTATGCCAAATATTTTGGGTGTTCACCCCAAATCCCAGGAACCCTGCGCAGTTCCTCCCGCGTCCCCCCGCCTCCCCTCGCCTCACTGCCCAGCCCAGGCCCTCATCTCCTGCTGTATGATCGTCCCCCTGGGGTTTCCTCTCTTCCCGTGCACCTGTCGCCCTGCTTCTGGAGCCTCCAAACCCTGAGTTGACTTTGCTCTTTCTCCACTTAAGCTCCCCGTTCCCATCAGAAAAGACTAACACGACTGTTTGCAGAGAACCCGGCCCCCAGGCTGCCTTCCCTGCCCGCCCCTCCCCACCCCTGCCTGCACCTCACCCGCACGGAGCTCCCCGCCGCCGGTACAGGACGTGCGCCTGAGCCATGGTACATCCCAGCCCCTAGCCAGTGCTCATCCTTCTTTCTTTTAATCCTCACTTGAGGGTATTTTTTTCATTGCTTTTCGGAGAGAGTGGAAGGGAAGGGGCGGGGAGAGAAAAGCATTGATGTGAGACACATCAATTGGTTTCCTTCTACACTCACCCCAACCGGGGCTAGGGGTCGAGCCTGCAACCGAGGTACATGCCCTTGGCCAAAATCGAACCCAAGACCCTTCAGTCTGTGTGCCGACGCTCTAGCCACCGAGCCAAAGCAGCTAGGGGCCAGTGCGCATCCTCCTGCACTGTTTTTCTGGGCAGCCTTCCTTTCCCCAGGTAGACTCAGGGACTCCTCCCTCGGCCTAACCAGCTCTCCTAAACACACGTGACACTGGATGGTAGCTATTTTCCAGTCTTCCTTTCTCACTGGATGCTCACTTCTGGAGAGTGAGGCCTTGTTTTTAATGTTTCGTCTCCCTGTTGACATCCCAGCCCACCATAGGCCCCCCGTGCCTCCATACTCCAAAGCCAACTGACACTAACCGTGCACTTTGCTTTCTAGCAGATAGAAAAAGCTTCTGCACAATCCACAGCACGGGCTATTTGAAAAGCTGGCCACCCACAAAGATGGGGCTGGACGAAGACAATGAACCGGACAACGAGGGGTGCAATCTCAGCTGCCTGGTCGCCATAGGACGGCTGCATTCGCACATGGTTCCACAGCCGGTGAACGGGGAAATCAGGGTGAAATCCATGGAGTATGTTTCTCGGCACGCAATAGATGGGAAGTTTGTTTTTGTAGACCAGAGGTGAGCGTCCGCACGTGACTCTTGAACAGTAATGGGAGATTTTCAACCCTGAGTAAAGCAGAGGCAACTGGACAGTGAGCTGGCTTTCCTAGGAATAAAGAGAGAGAAGAGAATGATGGGGATCTATGCTAAACAATGATACCCATGAGAATATCGTCATAAACCCAGAGATTTTCTCTTGTTCTTTGGCATGTGGAGACAGATAATCGGGCGGTTTGATGTCTGTGGCCAGAAGAAAAATAGTAGGCATAGCATATGTGGAATGTTCCAGGACCATTTCTGTGATTGGAATTCAGGAACATAGGACTTGGAAGAGAGTATCTAGTCCTGAGAATATGGGTAATCTCATATGGCTATTCATGTATAATTTAATCAATTAAAATGAAATAAAATTAAAAATTAAACACCTCAGGCTCACTAGCCACATTTCAAGTATGTATTCAGAAGCCACATGTGGCTAATGGCATAGATATAAAACATTGCCATCACCACAGAAAGTTCTGATGGACAACACTGGTCTAGTTAAGTCTCATCTCTCATGGCTGAGTGAGGACTGAGGCCCAGCCTGAAGACTGGCCTCCTCCAGGATTCACACTAATTGGTAGTAGACCTGGACTAGGAACCCAGAGGTCCCTCTTTTCCACTGCTCTACTGCCCTTTAAGAATATTCGCAGGATAATATTTTACTGGCTGCTGGAAAGTTACTAAATGCTGAAAAAGAAGACAGCCATTTTCCAAGGTCCTCCTGATAAAAAGTAGGCAGTAAAATGGAGAACTTTTGCACATGTGTATATATGTGTGTATATATGTATATATGACATTTATTTATATGTGCATATACATAAAAGCTCCACATAGTAAGCCCTCTAAAAATCCACCCAGCTTTGACCTTGTTCTCATTGGCTGTAGCAGGGTTAGGGTTCATCCCCTGCAGAGATGCTATTGTCTGAATGGCTCTTGTTTTGTTTTGTTTTTTTAATATTCCCTTCTAGGGCAACAGCTATTTTGGCATATTTACCGCAAGAACTTCTAGGCACATCATGTTACGAATATTTTCACCAAGATGACATAGGCCATCTTGCAGAATGCCATAGGCAAGGTAAGCTGGGCTGTACAGAGAGTCGTAAGTTTACAGTGTCCCCCTGCTTCTAGACTAGTCCACAGAGTCTTCCAGAGAAACCTGTCCCCAGTGCCGAGGGAATCAGCCAGCTGAGGAGTCTCGAGGCCAGAACATCTGTGAGGAGAGGAAGCCGGTGCTCCCGGCCCTGTTCATCCCCTTACAGATAACACACCCCTGCCTGCCCAGCCGTTTTCTGTGCATAGGCCAGGTTAATTTCTAGAGGCATCTCTCATTCAGAGGATTTACCTGGACCCTGCAAAGATTTAGTGCAGCCCAAACATTTCTAATTCCCTTTTTCATAAAATCCCGCACCACTGCCTGTATTTTCCTCTTGGTTAATGGCACAGCTATGTATGTTGCCTCCTCAGAGAGAAACCCGTATTGACCCCTCCTTTATTTCATCACCCACCAGACCAGCCCATTCACCTCAGACATGAATGGCCAAAGGGGACCCTTTTGCCACCTCCACTGCCCTGGTTCTGGCGCTTGGGCCCACCTCATAATTGTGAGAGCCCCCTGACAGGCCTCCCTTCTCCCTTCTGCCCCAGTCCATCTTCTATCTTCATAGCTAACCCGTTTATGTTCTGATAGATCAAGCCTGGTAATGTCACCTTCCTGCTTAAGGCCTGCCTTTACTCTCAAGGCCAATACCTTTGAAAGGCATTCAAGACCCTTTACCTCTTGGTCCCGACCTCCCTCCTGGCCCATCCTTCATGCCCTGCCCCATCCTTGCCTGCCGAGGCCCTGTCACAACTGGGCACTGCTGCATTCTTCCATCCCTCCTTTTGGCAAACTTGTATTCATCCCTCAAGGCCCCAGTCTCATCCTCCGCAGAGCTGCCTCATTCCTCTCCTGAGGGCAAGTGTCATAGCCTGACTCCTGTCTCCAGGCTTGGCACATGAAGGTGCTTGTTACATGTTTGCTATGTAAAAGAATAGGTTTGAATAGGTGACAGATGTCCTGAGAGTGCTGCACTGCCTCGGGCTTTGTGATGGGGAAGAACACAGCCCCTTTGCTCGGCGCCTTCCCATTAGCTGGTGCCCATGTCACAGCTGATTCCAGCCGGATGTCTGTAATGCGGCCAGGCATTTCCTGGCGCCTTCATTTCATACGCTCCAAAAAATAGGGGCAGATGAACAACTGAATCGAAAGGCTCGGAACAGCCCCTGAAAAACGACCTGTTCTCTGAGGTGCCGGCTCCCTTGGCTTATTGAAGAGGTGGCCTCGGAGTCCGATGCACTTAGGGTTTGGTTATTTTAATACCCTGATACGAGGAAGCAACAATATCATGGTTTCTTTGCATTTTCAGTTTTACAGACGAGGGAAAAGATCACGACTAACTGCTATAAGTTTAAAATCAAGGATGGCTCTTTCATCACACTGCGGAGTCGGTGGTTCAGTTTCATGAACCCTTGGACCAAGGAAGTAGAATACATTGTCTCCACCAACACTGTTGTTCTGTAAGTTTCTCCTCTACAGAAGCTCCCTTGCTGCAAACGAAATGCCCTGGGTTCCTTCCTGGGGACGGGGTGGGTGCGGGCAGCAGCCAGTGTCGCAATACCCTGTGAAGCCTCAGGACTGACAGAAGCCAAAGGGTTGTTAGCAAGGAACAAGCTTCATGCTCAAAGCACGCAGGCCCCGGCTTGTGGAATTGCTGCAGGAGTCGGCACCGTCTCCTTCCAGATAGAGCAGCCAGCTTTAGGATTCTGCGGCCCCTGCACCCCGGGCCGCCCCTGGTGCTCCGCGAGGGAGGGGTTGGCAGTCCATGAAACGCTGCCGTGGGCATCAGCTCACACTGGCCGTGGCTGAGGGTGGGTGGCCCTCCATGCCCACCAGGCTGGTGGCTTGAGTATTGGCAGCTACGGCACCACCTCAAAGCTGCCACGTGCTAGGTGAGCAGGGAAGGGAAAAACCTTCACTTTGGCTGGGCCTGCTCCCCCCAGTTCCTTCCCCGTGATGTCCAAACCCCTACCTGGTGCACCACAGGCTGGCAGGAGAGCAGGCCCGTGGCAGTGGCCGAGGGCTGCTGCAGCCACACCTCCGCCGGCCTGGGTCCCCCGTGGACTAGGAAGGCCCCACAGGCCGCGAGGCCGAGGCTGAGGCCAGGCTGCTGCCCGCCGTGTTATCACAGAGTGAGAGACCTTTTGAGCCACTGAGACAGACACTTCATTTTCTGGCCTGTCCAGGTCCAGAGTGGACACCGGACACCTTGGCCAAGGTGAAAGGTGCACGGCTCTGAGCAGGCCTGACTCACGTTTCCTTATTGCTGGGATGTTCACAGAGCCGACGTCCTGGAAGGCGGGGACCAAGGCTTCCCGCAGCTCACAGCGTCCCCCCACAGCATGGACGGCATGCTGCCCCCTGGAGAAGGTAACTATGTGCTGGGGGCCACTGAGAAGCAGCTTGTGACCAAAGACCCTCCCCCACGTACTTGGGGTCCCCAGCTACCCTATTCTGTAGAACAGGGAGGCCCCTCAGGGATGAGCACTGCGGACGCGGTCACCTCACTTTCTCTGTTGAGCTGGGTGTGTCTTTCCTGAGGCTGCTGGCTCCTGGAAGCCCTGGAAATAAACTCCTGCTCCTCTCGTGCCTCTCCCTTGGTGCTGCCCACTGGCTGATGTGATGTGATGTGCTCTCTGATGGCTGTCACCGGCTCCTGTGGTGGGAGAAGGGTGTCTGTCGGCAGAGGCCATCCCAGGGCCTGGCCTCGGCCTGCATGTCTTCCGTCCCGGCCTCTCCGTGGATGACTCCTGCATCCAGGCTCTCGCTGGGCTCCAGATCTGTCTCTCCTCTGCCTTCCACCCGGAGTCCCAAAGGCACCAGAAATTCAGCACTTCCAAACCGATTCTGTGCACGCCCCCACCTGGCTGGTTACGCCAGAAACCTTGACTCCCCCTCCCGTTCTGCCTGAACCTCTCCGTCACCGCTGTTGCTGCTTCGCCCGCCCCATCTGCTGCCCGGGTTATGGGAGGCAACTTCCTGGCCCTGTTCTCCGCGATAGTCAGTTCCCCAGGCGTCACCTTCTTACAGCCAAGTCCAAGCCGCTGCCTTCTCTGTGCAGAGTCCTTTGGTACCCCCGGTCCCTTTGTGGATCTGCCCGAACCTGTCAGGGTGGCATCCAAGGCCCTCTGATCTGACTGGCACCCACCCCCCGCCCCCCCACCGCATCGCTGTCACCCGTGGTGGACTTCGCGAGCAGCCTCCCGTGTTGCCTCCTGGGCACTCCTGCATGCATGGGTCGCTGTGCCTGGAGTGCCCCCCCCACCTCTCCGACAAGCTGACTTAGACCCCCTCTCCGCACTCGCCCAGAGGTGACATCTTCCAGGAAGCTGCCCCTGGCCCGGTGAGGTGGGTGCCGCACGATTACCTGTCAGGCTCAGCCTGACACCGGACAGTGGGCCCGGGCTGCCTGTGGCTACTTCAGTCAATTAGGCAGAGACAAGGTTGAATCAAATATGAGCACCTGTTCATTATTGCTGGCAAATGGGAGAGCATGGGATTCGTCCACAGAAAGTCTGCTCTCTCCTTCCCCATTACCTGGCTGGTTACATAGGGCTGCACCCAAGGGCGGGGGCGGGGGAGGACAGCTGCAGGGTCTGTGGCCTCCGCTCTCCTTCCAGGATCTCCAAGTCCCAGAACTAGGTAGTTAATTTTCAGTGGTGTTAAAACCCAGTTCTGCCAGTTCCTGAGACCTGAGACTAGTCAGCATTCCTGACGTAAGCTCCCCGAGGGAGGTCAGGCTCCAGGCACAGCAACCAAATCAAAGTGCATCCTGTCCTTTGTCTGTTCTCAAAATGCATCTTCTTTTCTGAGCAATGGGCCCATCCAGGCCGCAAGGTGTCTCATCTTTTACAGCTCGGCTTTTCTTCCTGTAGCACGTCCTCCAGGGTCCCAGGGTCTGTAGGAAACCTCTTATCTGTAGTTAGTAAGGTGAATGGCCATTAAACAGCTATGGTCCTGTTCCTATTAGGTGCCCCCCCCTTCCCCTTCACAATCCTGGTCAACATCTCTGCTCCCAGCAGTTCCGCTTTGCTCCAGCTGCTGCTCGTCTCGTCTGTCACCCATTAGACTGTGAGCTCCTCAAGGGCAGGGTGCTGGCTTATGTGTGCAGCACAGTGTGTTGAATAAGTGCATGTGATTCTTCACATCAACGCTTAGACCTCTAACCAGGAAGGAAACTTGAGCCTTTTCCTGCCAAACCACAGCTCTAATGTCCCTCGAGGCACAGCCCTAAGGGTGACCTTCGAGTGGATCATGGGATGAATTGGTCTTAATGAAACACACAGCAGCTTTTCTTCCTGGGCGTTCCCCTTTCTCACTCTCAGGTTCCTTTGTTGTAGGTGGCCCAAAGAGGACCCACCCCACTGTTCCGGGGATTCCTGGGGGAACCAGGGCTGGGGCAGGAAAAATAGGTCGAATGATTGCTGAGGAAATCATGGAAATCCACAGGCAAGTAGCATCTCCTAGTTGCTCCCTTAAACCGGTGGTTCTCAGCCCAGGGCATTCTGCCCTCCCCCACCCCAGGGGTGGTTTTGTAATGTCTGGAGGCAGTTTTGGTTGTCACAGCTGGGTGGGCGGTTGCTACTAAACATCCCCAGATAGGGGCCAGGTGCTGCTTCACAACATCCTCTGTAGTTGGATGTATCTAGTTGTATCCTACAGTGCACAGGACCATCAAAAAATTTTCTAGTCCAAACTCAATAGTGTCAAGATTGAGAAATACTCCTCAAATAAAGAGGCTAAACCCAAACAGCCCAGGGCCGAAGGGAAGTCTGTGGGAGGCTCCACTTTCCAGTTACTAGGTCCATGACTCAGAGAGATTCCCAGTGAGGATGGAACACTAGCTCGCAGGACCGCAGGAGAGCTGTGAACCGGGTGACTTGCCTTTCAAAGCATTAGCTCTGCAGGTCACAGAGCTGCCTGAGGAGAGTGCGGAGACCAGACAGACCAGCTCCCAGGGGAGATTCCCTTGGGCAGGACGTCTTTTCAAAGGAGAGAGGCGAGGTTTAGCTGGGTTTGATCCTGGGCCTCTACTTCAGCAGTTCTCAACCTTTTTCTGCTCATGGCACATGTAAACTAATGACCAAAATCCAGCAGAGCACCAAAATATATATATTTTTGCCGATCTGACAAAAAATAAATAGTTATAAGTTCTATTCATTCACACTGGATGGCTGTTGTCATTTCCTTATTTGACAATCGAAGGGAAAAGGGGGCAGTGCCCCTGACTAAATAGCCAGGTGTTGCATGTTTTACAAATTCTTGGGGCTGACTGGTTGAAAATCACTGCTGTACGTGGCTGTGCTTAGGAGATTCACTGAACTACTTGGTCTCTGTTGCCTTACACCATCAAAGGGAGGCACTATCTACCTCACAAGGATTGCTTTAGGATTGTGAAAGAACTCGGGAAAGTTCCTAGAACAGAAACCGACAGGGAGTGCTCAAAAGTCGTTAGGCAAGTCTAGGTCCTTAAGAGCAGCCACTGAGAGGGATGCAGCTATTACAGGCCCATTTGAAGGGGGGAAAATGGAGAGGGTGGTCACCAGGTCCTTAGGAATGCAGATGTAAAGGAACGTGGGAAAAATTACCACTATTTTTTGCTGCGACCGGATTCTCAGGAGAATTGGAGGCTGGCCTTGCTTTCTGGTTGGCTGTGGTGGGCCTCTTATCCTGGTGGGTAGCAGTTCTGTTCCAACCCAACAGGAATGAGGGATGTGACTGCAAGTCCACTTCGGAAAGGAGATGTGGGGCCGTGTGCAGTGATAACCAGGCTACCTTCAGCCGCTACATACCCTGCCCTTTGCTCAAGACCATCTAAGAACAGTACAAAACAGTCCTTGACCTCAAGGATCTTACAGTTGTTGAGAAGCCTATTTTCTTTATGATAATAGAAAAAAGAGAGAACACACGGGCTGAAGCAAGCAAGCAAGGAAGATTTTGAACTTGGTCGAAGCTGGGGTTCGTGATGAAGGTGGGCATTCCCTCTAGAAAAGACAGGCACATGCTGGGGTGGCCATGCGAGTGGCATATTCAGGGTCGAGAAGTGGGCCACCTAGCTGGGCAGTCTCTTTGTAGGAAGGAGCCACAGAGCTGTGATGGGAAATTTCTAATATTAGTGAGAAACGACGCTGAGTATTTTAGACTGGAAAAGAGCCGTGAGACCCCATTCATTACGGGATGCTGAATAGGTGTTGATAAGCACCGAGGACATTGGACTGAAACAGGGAGAGAAAGGTGAGCGTGCTGATAACCCAGGAATGAGGCCCACCCTACAGTGGCGATACTTTCCAAAAGAGAAAGGGGTAATTTAAGGACTAGATATGGAAGACAAGACAAGAAACAATGAAAAGGCAATTCCAAGATGGGGACCCTGGGAAAATAGTGGTTTCACAGAGGGAAGTAAGGAGAGGTGCGAGATAGTCAGCACTTTGCAGAAAGCAATGAGTAGGCCTCTGTGTGCCCTAAGAGTGCACGGCATATAGTTGTACCCTGCCTTTGAGAAGCGTAGGGTCCAGGAGAGAGAAAGCCTGTTCACTCACAGATCTACAGAACTAGGCATACAGGCCAAGAGCCAAAAGGCTACTGGGCAGTGGAGGAGGGGTCCCTAGGGGACCCAAAAGCCACGTCCATCCACGCGGGAGCTACGAGCCTGGTGGTCACACAGCTGCCACCATACTCTCCCTAAACTCCAGCTTCAGCGCCAGGCCATGGCCACTTTCCAGAGGCCCTTCAGCCTGACAAGAGTTTATGTAGATTTCTAGTTTTAAGCAGATAAATCATTTGCTGTGGGTTCTGCTTCATGGTATCAAAGACACAGGCTGAACTTCTAAAGTCCCCTCCAACTCTGAGATCTGGATCTTGTGAGGAAATGAAACTGGCCACTTACTTTAAATTCCGAGTCCTAATCCCAGGCTCTGTCAGTGAGATGCTTGACTCCGGGGTCTGCACTCTAGATTAGGTGCCTGTGGGATCAACCCAGCTTATCGCCTGTTTTTGTAAATAAAGTTTTATTGGAACACAGCCACACCCATTCATTTTCGGATTGTCTGTGGCTGCTTTCTAGCTCCAGTGGCAGAGGTGAGTAATTGTGACTAAGACCATAGGGCCTAGAGAGCCTAAGGTAGTTGCTGTCTGGCCCTTTACGGACAGCTCGCTGGTTCCTGTCCCAGACCTTCCTCTGACCTCCACCCCTCAGCAAAGCGAGAGGCGGTGTAACCAAGTCCTCTTTTCCTGACAGGATAAGAGGGTCCTCGCCTTCCAGCTGCGGCTCCAGCCCCCTGAACATCACAAGCACACCTCCCCCAGATGCCCCTTCTCCGGGAGGCAAGAAGGTAAGGCTGGCGACTCAGGCCAAGGCCCTTCTTAACCTAGAGAAGCTCTTGCCTAAGTTCGGAAGTGTTGGCGTGAGCGTATTTAATTCCAGCTGTGGTTGCTGAGCAGTTTTCCTCCTGAAGTGGATGCATGATTGTGAGGCGAGGTGCGAAGCACACGGAGCGAGCGAGGGCTTGCTGGCATCCTCAGGGGGTTCCATCCGTGGGAGTGGGGAGAGCAGAGAGTTATTCCAGGGAGGGGGGCGCTGTCAGTCCATCGCACTGAGGAGCAATTCAAGAGCCCCCAAGAGGGAAGATCAGTACCGCGCACAGCAAACTCTTCAGTTCTCTGCCAGTTGTCGTCCAGGGAGAAAATACCATCAGGGTCTAGGGCAGGGGCTGCGAACAGTGATACCGCAAGCAGGGCTCGGGGAGGCAAGCCGCGNGCCGTGGCAGAGCGCTTGGGGCCTGCCGCCCGGCTGCCCGCGATGACGGCGCGGGTCCCGCGGCCCCCAGCCGTGCGCCCTCGCGAAGAGCTGGCTGGAAGGCTGCGCTTGGACGGGCTTAGGGACCGCTCACCTGTCCCGCCTCTGCCGGAGACTTTACACGTCAAGGCCCACGTTCATCGTACATCGTAAATCCACAGTGCCCGATGTTAGTATCGGTTAGGGGGACCAAGGGCCAGCATCTGTAGACAAAGTCCTCCTTCTCCCGTCTCCCAGAACACAGAGGGAGTAATTTACAGAGATGGACACCTAGGGCACGAACTGCAGCAAAGGCAGGACGGTTTTCAGAACGGGGTTCCTCAGCAGCGCAGGCAGCAGGGGCGGGGCGGGGCCAGCTGGTGAGGAGAGGGTGAGGCCGGACGCCTGTGTCTTCTACCCGGGCAGCTTTACCTCTATTACACAGGAATCTTCTGTAAAAGCTTCTGCTTGAAATAAGGCTTTGCTCCCACCCACCCCCACCCCACCCCCACAAAAGGTTTCAAAGTCCGTAAATTAATGGGTAGGAGCATGGTCAAAGTAAGATAGACCTGGGCTGGAATCCTGGCTTGGCCATGTGCTAGCCCTGCGACCCTGTGCAGTTTTAAGCCCTAGTTTTCTTTAATGGGGCTAATGTAGGTTGCAACAGGCAGAATCTTTGCACATGAACTCCTGTTATGAAATAATGTGTGAATGCGCCCGACCTTTACTAACGCGGAAAATAGCGCTGGTTAGATGAAGCCTGGGCTGCAGGCTGTGCTCTTAGCTCTGACCCCCTTTTATACCTCTGGGTCCCTCCTCCCTGTGGACCCACTGTCTCCTTAGGCTCGTTTCCCTTCTCTGCTTCTCAGCTGGACTTCTAGGCACTTAACTCCCTGGTGTTAACCAGGAATCCCTCTACTCCATCCAGTGTAATGTTTAAATATTAACCAGGGAACTTTCATACGCATCGTCTCATCTTATCCTCACAACTGTATAGGTGAAGAAACCCAGGCTCCCAAGTGTTGAAAGATCAGCCCGGCATGTCTTAGATGGTTCCAAACTGATTCAGGTCTCCACTCCCGATTCTTTTCACACCAGTAGCTGCCAGGGCGAAGGAGCGTGCTCGGCGTCACAAAGCCCCAAGTGTTTTTAAAGCATTTATGAAAAAAAAAGTTCCTTTTTCTTTGAGCTTATAAAAGTGGGACTGAGAGGACCTGGAGAGTATTATGCTGAGTGAAGTAAGCCAGTCAGAGAAAGACAAGTATCACATGACCTCACTCACATGTGGAATCTAATGAACACAATGATGAACAAAATAGATCCAGAGACACGGAAGCATGGAACAGACTGAGGGATCTCAGAGGGAACGGGGTGGGGAGTGGGCGGGAGAGGTCAAAGAACTCACATGCACATATGCATATCCCACGGACACAGACGATAGTGTGGAGAAGGCCTGGGGGCGAGGTAAAGGGGGGGGGGGAGGAGACCTGTAATATTTTCAACAATAATTTTTTTTTAAATAAGTGGGTCTGAGAGAAGAAATTCTGAATGTATTCTGAGTCCTCGGCAGCAGGACTTAGAAGAGCAGCCTAAACAAGAGTTGAAAATGACAGCAGCAGTAAACAGCGCTCCAAAGCCACAGTGCTTCCAGCCCCGCCCAGTCCCGCTCCAATTTGGCAGGTCTGAAAATGAGCCGTTAGCCTGCCAGTTGTTTCAGCTGGGGTTCAGCTGAAAGGCGGGGGCTTAAGTGAGCCTTGCAATTTCCAGGAGAGTCCGCACATCCAAAGGCAAAGGTTCAGACAAAGCGGCAGTTCTTAAGTGCCATCTGTGGCCTTTTTGGGGGCAAGAGAGCAAGATCGGTTCAGGGCTCTGCAAAGTCCAAACTCTTTTCATAATAATGCCAAAATACTTTTTTTCTCACTGCACTGATATGTGAATGGATAGTACAAAAGAAAGGTTGGGTAGAACTGCTGGTGCTTTTGCAAAAATCAGCGCAGTGACACCAAACTGCGCTAGTAGTTGTATTTTTTCATCACCATACACTCACAATAAAAGTTTCTAAAGACAGCTTCACTTAAGAATGTTCTTAATGAAGCAGTAAAAAGAGCTGCTCTTATAGGCCCCTGGAGTAAATCTTTTTGATTCTGCGACACAGTGGGAAGTACGCATAAGGCACCTGCGCAGCCCGCAGCTGCGTGGGGAAGGCCCTGGTGCTCAGTGCCTGAGCTCTGGCCGCATGACTGCTTTCTTCATAGAACACGGCTGTTCTGCTGGAAACTATGGCTGTCCGGACTTGGGTACTTAGCATACATTTTCTTGAAAATGAATAAAGTGAACCTGTGACTTCAAGGAAAACAACTGACAGTATTTGTTGCCAATGATAAAATTACAGCTTTCAAGCAAAAATTAGAATTTTTGGAAAACTTCTATCTACTACTTTGAATTGACAGCTTTCTAACTTAAAAGATATTTCCGATGATTTAGGTAATATTAACAATGGTGGTTTTAATGTTGTACCTGCAATGTGTCAACATTTGGAAGATCTGAATAACTCAGTGAACCAGTATTTTCCAAATGACCAATAATTTTATTTTTTTATTTTGAGAGTACGTTTATTAAAGCTGAGGACAGTGAAACAAGGAAGGGCTTAGGACAGAAGCAGCCACAGGAGAGCCTAGGCTGGGCGGGGCCGCTGTCAGCTCACTGGAAGTCAGAGAAAGGGGCCTTGGAGACAGGCTCGGGGGTTAGCGTGAGCTGCCATGCCCATTGCCCCCCTGGTTGCAAGTCTCGTGGTGTCCCTTAGAACTTAGGAGATGCGCACCTGTGGGGGAAGGGAAAGGCACAGGTGTGGCTCCAGGGAGGGAAAGCGTGCCCCATGCAAGGTATTTTAAAATCATGCAAAGGTAAACAAAAGATCCATCCTAAGATGGACAGACCAATGGATTTTAACATGAGTACAGAAATCTCACTTATATGGTTTCAGATTCCATGTTGCAGCTAACCTTTTGAGAAACGCCCACTTACTGAGTTTTGATGTAATGTCAAAGATTAATACCACAATTATTTGAAAAAGCTATTAAAATATACCTTTTTAAACTATATATCTAGGGGAGGCTAGATTTCCTTCATATACTACAAACAACACATCTAAACAGACTGAATGGAGAAGCAACTACAAGTATCCAGTCACATTCTACTAAGGCAGACACTGGATTGTTTTAAAATGTAGAACAAGGATACCACTCATTTTTTGTTGTTTTGGAAAATAGTTACTTTTCATTAAAATGCAATTCGTGTTAACATGTAATAGGTTTATTATATTTTAAAGTTATTACTTTTAACTTTAAATACACTAAACATTGACAAATATAGCCTACATAACAAAATTTCTTTAAAGTCCTCAATTTTAATTTTTTAATTATTTTAATATATTTTTATTGATTTCAGAGAGAGGAAGGGAGAGGGAGAGAGGGAGAGAGACATCAATGATGAGTCATTGATCAGCGGCCCCCTGCATGGGATCAAGCCCAAAACCCGGGCATGTGCCCTGACTGGGAGTCGAACCTGCATCTCTTGGATCCTAGGTTGATGCTCAACCGCTGAGCCACACCGGCGTGCAAGTCCTCAGTTTTTTAAATTGTGTAAAGGGGTCTCTAGACCAAAAATTTGAACTGCAGAGATCAAGGAAGTTGCAATGCCACCTACTGGCAAGGTCTGGTATCTCCGCCCCTCCTGAAATCCAAGGAGCTACCATGTTTCCTCACCTGCATCCAAATGCTCCAGGAGGCTTTTCTGAGACTCAGCCAGGGGAAGGAAGCTGGGGGTGGGGGGCCGGGGGCAGACAGAGTGATAATTCTGCTACAGAGGAGTCTATCTTAAGAACGTAAACCTCTGGTTACTAGAGGCGGCGTCTGTAGTTAACTGATGAGAGATTTACTTCTAGTGTTTTGTTGTTCTTTTGTGACTCCTCAGAGCTGTCTCTTCTCAGTTTCACAAGCTCTCATTTCTTCAGCAACATCTGAAAGTTTTACTCCCTTCAGGGGAACTGCCCAGCTGGGCTCACGGAGGTTTAGTCGTTGGCCTTAAAGAAATATGTGAGCAGCATGATCCAAGGTAACTGAATGCTTTAGGGATTTTATTGAGCCTTTAAATTGCCTGAATGGGCTGAATCTAAGAGAGAGAAAAAAATAGTTTTGGGGAGTTTTTTCTTACCGTGACCCTTCTGAACAGTTTCTTGATTGAAATTGCCCAAGAGGAAACCGAAGCCATTTGAAGCATTTTTTTCTCCCACCTTCCTCTTTTCAACACAATTCATTTTCTTGGTGGCACTGCATATGATACTGATTGACTGTTGGTGATGTGAAAACTTCACTTTTGTTTGCAGATTTTAAATGGAGGGACTCCAGACATTCCTTCCAGTGGCTTACTACCTGGGCAGGCTCAGGAGAACCCAGGCTATCCGTATTCCGATAGTTCTATTCTTGGTAAGTGGCATACGAACTCATTTCCATTACAATGAGTTTGCAACACATCTGACACAAAGTCATTTTTAATAATGTGAATGTAAATGTACCAAACAAGTTAGTTCTACATAAATTTGATAAGAACAAAGTAAAAGTTAAAAACTTGTTTAAATCTTTACTTCCAAGTGGAGTTTAATGGTTGCGTTCTGGCAGAGTATCCAAGTTTGTCCCTGGAACTCAGGAGACTATAGCAGCCTGGACATGGGCTTTCTCCCACCGTGTAGGACTTAATCTCTTCAGAGGAAAAACCGATGGTGGTTTAGAGACAAAGCCTAGAAGGGTGATCAGTGCACGTTTCAGAGGGTATTAAAAGTCATTTAGCAATGAAGAGTCCACTTCTCCCATCCCACCCGTCTTTCCCTTTATCTTTTTAGATCTTTTTTCCTAATCTCTATTTTCCCATTTCTTTCCTTCTGTAACTCCATCCTTATAATTTGTTATATCAGAATATTAAAATGAGGTCAACTCAGATGTTTTTAATCTTTATTATATTTTAAGTACTGTGTTTCTAAAAAATTGGTTCTTCCCTCTGAAAACCCCAGTTAAAAAATATATATATGGCAATGTAGCACCAAAAGTAGCTCCTCTCGTCCTACTGTTAAGCATAACTTTCTTAATAAAAGTGTGCTTCGGAATTGCTTACCAAGGCAAACACACTTTGGCATCATCACTAACCAGTCTTCTCTCCTCCCGCAGGGGAGAACCCTCATATAGGCATGGACATGATAGACACCGATCAAGGCTCAAGCAGTCCCAGTAACGATGAAGCAGCAATGGCTGTCATAATGAGCCTCTTGGAAGCAGATGCTGGCCTGGGTGGCCCTGTTGACTTTAGCGACTTGCCATGGCCGCTGTAAACACTACCTGTTGCTTTAGCAACAGCTACAGTATCAAAGTGCATTACTGGTGGAGTTTTACAGTCTGAGAAGCTTACTGGGTAAGGAGAGAACAGCTTTTATGTACTGTCTTCATAAAAGCCATCTCAGAGCCATTGATACAAGTCAATCTTACTATGTGTAACTTCAGACAAAGTGGAACTAAGCCTGCTCCAGTGTTTCCTCATCATTGATTATTGGGCTAGCTGTGGATAGCTTGCATTAATTGTATATTTTGGATTCTGTTTGTGTTGAATTTTTTAATCATTGTGCACAGAAGCATCATTGGTAGCTTTTATATGCAAATGGTCATTTCAGATGTATGGTGTTTTTACACTACAAAGAAATCCCCCATGTGGATATTTCTTATACTAATTGTATCATAAAGCTGTTTATTCTTCCTTGTAAGAATCCTTTACTATAAATATGGGTTAAAGTATAATGTATTAGACAGTTAAATATTTTTAATAAATGTTTCCCTTGTTCTATAAATACTGTTCACATTTCAGATAATTAGAAAAAAATCCTACATGCTATAGGGCTGGTTCATCAACTTTTTCCAGTGGGTTTTAAAGACAATCCATGCCAATAACATTTACACCTTTCTGGCCATCATAATAATTCTGGGACTGACATCATTTCCCTGTGTTAAAAGCTCAGCTATTTTGTTAAAATAGTTAATCTCCAAATCGTTACAATTTTTATTTATATGAGAACAAAAATGTTACTGTTTAAACACAAAATTCAATTCTCTTAAATTACAAATTCAAGACTAGATGTAACAGATTGGCTTCTCTACTACAACTCCTCTCTCTACTAGTACTCACAGCTGTATGGCTTCCAACAGTGTGACCCCAGACCCAAAGGTCACGGAATATTTAAAAAACAACATTTGTATGAGTAATATGCTAAGCAGAGCAGCACAGTATAATGAAAAAAGCACCGAACTAGTATCAGAAATTAGCTCTGAAACCTAAGGTCACTGTACGATTTAGTCAAGGTATTTTACCTTTCATATCAGGTTGAACTAGAAAATGGTATCTTTCAGATCTAACATTGTTTTGGATTTATTTTTTTATAATTAGTAGGGGATCTAAATGCCTCATCACACACATACCAAATTGAGTTCCATGAGCTGCTATTTGTTTTCTAGTTATAATGACACCAGGAAGACAGGAAGTCTAATTATGAGTCTAAAAATGGTCAAGGTTATAAAATTGATCAGAAACATTAAAACAATGGAATTTTATTTTGATGAAAAACTTGAGTTTACAATCATTTAGTAAATGAAGAGCAAACACTTCATTTTCCTATCCCATAACTCTTAAGAAAAAATCATTAGTAAATAAATATCTGTGAACGGATTAAGGGTAAGGCAGACTGGATAATAAACCACCCCTGATGTTCACACTCCCTGCGTGTGACTCACTCTAAAAGGGTGAAAACGGCACTGGAGATAACTGAACTGTTAAGATGTGGGCACTGAATCTCATTCTAATCATTCAAATAAGCCCAGTGATAAATACTCATTTTTTGCTCATCATGGGCAGTAAACTATACACATTTTACTGAAGGAATACTTTGATAGAAGCACTTATTTAAGTTATACTGTGCATCACAACTATAAAAATGGCTTGAACAGTTCCATTTAACCATTTATAAAGTGCAACTATATAATATTCTGCATTTTATCTGGGGTATGACATATCAATCTAGACTGAAAGTACCCCAGCTGCCAATTTCCACCACTTCTGAAAAGATCTAGATGTGTGAAAAAGGACTGTCCCCATACAAAGAACCAATTTCACAAACCTACTGGTAAACAAATACATTTATATAACTGGAACCTCAGGATGCTAGAGTTGTACTCATTTAAAAAACCATTCAGCTACCTTTGGTCTTTAAAAAAGCCTACACTGCAATATCCTAAACATTGTTATGTGCATCTCACGATGAAAAGTGGCCTTGCAGTGCAGAATGAGGAGAGTGCAACGTCACTGTGAAGAGTAGCATGCTATGGTTTCAAGGAACATCAGCATCACAGCATTGGATTCTGTGCATCAGGATCGAGGTCATTGTTGCCCGAAGGGGGATGGATGGGGAGAATATCCAGCTCATCCACTTGCGGAGTTGGGTGCATGACGACCAGCTGGTCCTGGGGAATGTCTGCGGCAGCTGCTGCAAGGTTGGTGATAGATTTACTCTTTACACACTGAAAGTCTACATGCCGACTCTTTCCTTCTTCCTTCTCCCAGGACATTCGAATAAAGGGTCTTTGGACATAGTTGTAAATCACTTCTGGGCGGCCTCCAGGCCTTTTCTTTATTTTTTCTTTATAGGTAGGATAACCTGAGGATAGAAAGGTTTTACAAACTGAGGACACACACTTGCACATACACGGCCCCCCCACACTTCTCATCCAAGTTAGCCTAATGAGGGCTTTTCTGCTGTAGCTCCTGGACAAACAAAACAGAGAAAGGAAACCAATATTCCATTCCCTTGGTCATCAGTTCAATGGCCAGAAACCAAAATCCTGATGTAATTCACAAAACCGTCTATCCTCTCTCAGGTATTCAATACATCAGCCACCAGAAAAACATTCTTTAAGAGCAGGAAAGGATGGGTCCCAAATAAAATGGTATGTAATCTAGTGCATCTTGGGCTCTAGCAGTATATCCTTAATCTCCCTGAACCCTTCCTTCCCTTCACAGGATTATCTGGCCTCGAGATGTGCAACTGACTGCCACATTTGCCTTCTACTTTCCTTAAACCTAAATCGCATTTTCACATTGCTCTGGGTTTTTTCTTTCCTTTTCTGGTTAAATGACAAAAAGCTGCAGAGATCTCCAGCTTCACTGGTTCTAGGTACTTCTGCACCGAGGTAAGCAAAGCCAATATTTTAACCCCATATTTCATTTTAATGTTACTACTCCCAACAACCAAGCAGTTCACCCAGATTGGCAATTCCAAAGCAGCTTTTCCTAATTCTCTCGGATCATAATCACTGAAAAGGAACAACTAGAAAGGACAATCCTAGTTTTGGAAAATTTTTGGTCATTTACCAGGGAAGGCAATTCTCCAAAAACATCATCTCCTTAGAAATTATTATGCGTCCCTTTCCTCCTTCCTACTAGAAAGAATTGCTAGTTTAGACCAGGGATTGCCAAACATTTTTCCATAAAAGGCCAGAGAGTACATTCTTATTTGAGGCTTGCGGGCCATATAGTTGCTATCTCAACTACTCAACTATCCCACTGTAAAGTGAAATCAGCCACAGACAATACATAAATGAAAGAGCATGTCTATATTCCAATAAAACTTTATAAAAAAAACAGGCACTGGGCTGGATTTGGCCCAGGGGCCACAGTTAGACCATAATCTGAATCAGAAAAAAAAAAGCCTCACATTACGGGGACTCAATTAATGATTATATTGCATAGGGGGATGTATGTAGACAGCATTGGTAGCTAGTATATATATTTAGCCATGTGTGGAGTGAGTGTGTTATGTGGTTGAGGTGAGGAGGGCACAGAACAAGCAGGGCCAAAAACCTTCTAAAGACCTTCTGCAGAATGTCTTCTACATTTCACACTTCCAGTCACCTACCACCTGAAGGACAGCACTAGAGATCAGAAAGGTCTCCATCTCTATTCCCTCGTCCTGGGTTCCTCTGGGGCCATTAGAAAGTCTTCAAAATCCCCATCTCATCTTCTCCACAAAGAATCACCACTCTAACACGTGTAATCACATTACATCCTAGGTTAAAAACCACCAAGTTTTCTCATGCTGAAGGGGAAGGCCCGTCCTCCACAGCACAGTATATAAAGCTTTCTTATAACCCGGTTCTAACCTCCTTGCCATCAGGCTTCAACTGAAATGCCTCCTCCTTACAGAGGCCATCCTTGTTTTCCCAATCTAAGTAGGACCCAGTTGCTTTCTCTCTAGCTCTGAGAACAAACAGCTGTTTGCAAAATGATAGAAGACACACATGGGTAAAACTAATGTGTCAGCAATTTCACTACTTATTTTAAGCCCAAAGCCGCCTCCTCTGCCTGCAAAGACTGTTTCTGGTCATTCTTCCCCATATGTCTCAGCAGCCCATTACAGTAAGTCTTCAGTTAACACTGTCAATAGGTTTTGTGACTTTAAGCAAATGATATAATGAAACAAATTTTACCATAGGTTAACTGATATAAAGAGTTAAGCTCCTATGGCATCTTACCAATGTGTGATGAAACGACACAATGAAATTGTTCAAGGATCTGCTGTATTGTAACCTCCAACAGCTCAACTGGTCAATGATCACCACCATTATCTCCATATCACCATCACAAACATGTACTGAGAAACTGCTATATGCCAGGCTCTGCTTTGTTTTTCAGGTATCAACTCATTCTATCATCATAATAACCCTATAAAGTATTTATTAAGGCCCTAATTTTAGATGCGGAAACTGAGGCACAGAGAAGTTAAATGCCTTAGCCAAGGTTATACAATTGTTAAGTCACAGGATTTGAACACAAGCAATCTGGCTCCAGAACCTTTATTCTTATTCTTATTTCTTTTAGAACCTTTATTCTTTAAACTATGTCATGTTATGTCAAGAAGGGACTTTTATTCTTACAAAGGGCATTTTAAAAGAAAACAAGCATTTAACATGGCTTTTGGAAAAATTCATTTAAATCAAAGTAAAAAGCAATCTGAAAATGTACGGGCTCAGTCAAACGATCATTAGGGTGAGCTATAGCAGAAAAGATAAATTCATATCTTCTATTACTAGGGAATCTTATGGAATAAAAATTTCTAATGGCCTATTTTCTCAGATAAAGAAAGCTGGTCTTTGTTATTTATAGGTCTACTACATAATCATTCGATATAATCATTTCTCTGAGTTTTTCTTAAAGTATTCAAACTATATTCTAAATGAAATTCTATTTTTTTAACCTTGTGTTTTTGTTTTCAAAAGAAAGTTAACAGAATATATGAAAATGTCTTACCTTCTATTCCCAATCTAATCTTCTTAAGACCTCTCTCCTTCAAAACTGATTTGGCCACATCTCTGTTTTCAATGTACTTGAAAAATCTATATAATTTTGTGCTATAAATAACTGAAAACAAGAAGACAAAAGTATTTTATTAAAATCAAAGTACTTGGATATAAAAAATTTATCTTGATCATCAAATGGGGCTCACAACCCTAAAATCCCAAATAGTGGATGCAGTGATGCCAAAGGATGACTAGCCAACATGACAGGACAATTCAGTACAGTTAATGTATAAGCAATACTTAAGTTGAAACAAAAAAAGCTTTAATAACCAATCAGGTAACCCAATCCATAGGAAGAACTCTCCTTCTGAAAGATATATCATATATAAACTTATTGAAATAGGATCTGCCCCAATTTCTTCAAATAAGAGAACCAAAAGAAGACATCAGGATCACATCATTATCAAGCAAGCAAAGTAAAGGACTTTGCTAGGATGCCTACAAGGCCTCGTCTGGAAAGGGGAAAAAATGCCTTGTTAGAGAGTACCTAATGGATACATCTTGCATTTCATGGATTGAGCAACTATTAATAGCTCCCCAAAAAGGCAAAGACCCTCCCCACAAACTGTTTTCCATTCAGGCGAACAGCCCCATTTAATACTGATGTTAAAAATGGCAGATTCGAGCATGTTCTGCCTAGGTTAGTCTGTTTAGAGCAAACTGGCTTTGCAAAGGACAGACATTCCACTGACAACATGTTGAGTCTTCCAAATGTGCTGGGAACTTCAGGGAGTTAGACTGATGGACTTTCCTCGCCTTCTCTCTTTCAGGTGGAGTTATCTCCCTTAAAAGGTGAACTGCAAAGGTTTTTTCAAAAAAAGAAAAAAACACTCACAAACCAAACATGCTGGTTTAAGAGCCAATAAAAGGAAAATACGTATACAGATGCTACTCATGGAGTAAATTTGTAACTACATCCTTAAGATTACTGATATTTTAAGAGAAATATTTTTTGACATCTCAGAATGGACGGTTGCCACATTTAGGAAAATCAGGCTGAAGAGGCTATCTCTGTCTCCTTAAATAAATCTTTAGCTCCCCATTGGCACAAGATGAAACATTTAGACAAATTAAGTAAAAATGCTTTCAGTCCTTTTAAGCTTCAAAGCTTAAGATAAAAACAAGAAAACCAAAAAACACTGAAATGGAAAGCTCACCAATTAAGGAAAAGCCAGGTGTATTATAATCCCTACATCACTATTATGTCATTTCTGTATTCTATGTTGGCTCTACTCTCTTCAAGTCAGAAAGTTTAGTTTTTTTTGAAAACTAAAATACAAATTATGTTTGTTCATTCCGATATTTCTCTTCATTTTTGGTAACCTTTCATTTTTCCTGTGTTTTGTTCAACTTTTTATTCCACATACTGTTACAGAAAACCATTGTCAGCAAAGGGCCTAGGAATGAGGAAATAGCAACAGAAATGTCTATTATTACAACTGTCCACAAAAGAATCACTCATTTAAGTATATCATGCAACAAAAACATCTCAATATAAACTCTGAAAAGTGCTACTGTAATTGGTGTTAAAATAACCTTTGAAAGTCTTCTTTAGAAGTCAAAAAGAATACCACTTGGAGTCTGCTTTGTTTTGTTTTTAGAAAAGGGTAAGTAAAATGGGAAAATAATTAAAGGATTTTGATACAGTCTATATTCCTGTACTTTTTATTTAAACCCCAATCCTTACCAAGTCAGTACAGACTGGAGTACAGAACAAAATGCTGGGCTATTTTACCTAGTTCTTCAAATTATTCTTTTGACTCTTAATCTATGAAACTGGTCAAAAATACCCTATTGAATTCATCAAGATAAACAACAGTAAGATAAATTTTCTAACAAAAACAATCAAAAAGCACTAATTAGAAAAAGTCTGAAAGTGCAGTTAAGAAAAGTTGGTCACTCCTGCTCAAGATATGCTGTTTTGGTCAGAAATACCTAACAAAGCTTCCTGAAGGCTCACTGTATCCTCCAAACACATGTGATATTTAAAAAGGAACATCTTAGAAATTAAAGTCATTCTCGAAATCAATGAGTTGAAGTTTCTCATTTTATTTTTTTATTTTTTAAATATACCTTTATTGATTTCAGAGAGAGGAAAGGAGAGGGAGAGAGAGAGACAGAAACAGCAATGATGAGAGAGTCACTGATTGAGCCCACAACCTGGGCATGTGCCCTGACCAGGAATCGCTCAACCTCTGAGCCACACCGGGCAGGGCGAAGTTTCTCATTTTATATACAAATAAAAATTCACTTTAAAAAAACAGCTTTTTTTTATGATCTACTACTCCAGGATCTACTTCTCTAGGAGGCTTCCAAATTCAAAGGAAAAAATCCATCAAGATCCAGATATTCAACAAAAAGCAAACCACCTCTGTGCATGTCAGGGGTGGGCACACTTCTTCTGTAAAGGGCCAGATAGTAAATACTTTGGGCTTTGCGAGCCATGCGGTCTTTGTTACAACAACTCAACTCTGCCACTGTAGCACAAAAGCAGCCACAGACAATACAGAAAACCTTTTAAAAACAGGCAATAGGCTGGATCTGGCCCACAGGCCATAGTTTGCAGAGTCCTGGTATAGTTAAGAGTTCAATGTACTTTTTTTATAAAAACTGTCCTTTAATCAATATTATAAAAAAAAAATAGAGAATCTGTAATGATTCAGGAAACAGAAAACATGCCACAATACTTACTTTGTGAATATTCTTCTCCCATCTGGGGTGGATACTCTTCATCCCAATCAACCACATCGTCGTCTGTAAGCACCACTATGTGGCATTCTCGTTCTCCACTCTGGGCACTAGCTACCATGAGAGGCAGGATCATTTCTTCTAGATAAAATTCAAACTGTCTACGAGCACCATCATTTGATAATTCATGCATTAGGGCACCTGAAATGAGACCCACAAGAACTTATTGATTTTTTGGGGGGTGACTGATAAGTAAAAATAGAGCAGAAGCAACACACAGAAGGTCAGATTAGTTCAGTATCTATTTATGGACCCTATAGACAATATCGTGGTTATTCTTTAGTAAACAGAACTTTTCCTAGGAAGAGTTATTATGGAACTGTAGAATTACAGAGCAAAAAAGGGCAAATAAAGGCATCCAACAACAAGCCCCTTTATTTTACACTCCATGATGTAATCTGCCTGAGGTTACAAAACTAATTTGCAAAATCAGAACTAAATCCATCCCCACCCCCATCCCTAGCCCAGGGCATTTTTTTTATTATATTATGTTGTCTTCTATCAGTATATCAAGTATATCTTAAAGTAGATATTAAGGATAATTTTCAGATTATTAATATAAACTAAAGTAGCTCCCATTCCACCTCCCACGTTTTCTTTCTCAGAAAATTATTCACCAGCATTAAAATTTCAGTGTAAAAGGGGTTAGATGAGAAGGGTCAACTGGGATACGGAAGGCAAACGGCCAAGCAAAACAGGGCAAGATACCGGAATTACACGGGCTTCGCACCCTTGAGAAAGGTAAAAATACACTTCATTTCATCCTCAGGTATAGACACAATGAACAACTTCAACTTCCCAAATACACAGCTGCACAAACTCACCTAAATTGACCTAATGTTTTTTCTTTTATTGCCATTTCAAGGGCAATGCCCTATCTCCTTCCTAAGGCTCTACCACCTCAGGAACTACTGGGAGGGTTGGAGTGTCATCTCCCAAGGGAGTGTTTCCCCTTACAACATGCTGTCTAATTATATAACTATTGATCTCTTGGTTCAATCTCTCTCACTTGTCCTTAAAATGCTCTCATCCCTAAGAACCTCTGCTACCTGGTTTTCTTTCTCCTCTCTCTGGCTGGTTTTCTCTAGTCACCTCTGCCAACTCTTTCTCCTCTAAGGTGTTCACAATTTTAAGTTCTTTGCTCCTCTCACCACCTTAGGCTGACAATTCCCAAATTTACTTTACTAATTTTGCCTTCTGTAGTCTAGATGCATTATATTCAACTGCCTTCTGGAAACTTCCACATGGATGCCACATCACAGGCACCTCAAACTCTACTCAATATATCCAAAATTGAATTGCATCATCTCTACATCTCTCTGCAGTGTTTTCAAAATCAGCAAATAGCATCAGTATCCACTCAAGTTCTCAGAATCATCTCAGAATAGTGCTGGGCATTGACAGGCACAGGCACTTAGACAGTTGTGGAATAAATAAATGAATCCTTGATTCCTCTTTCATCTCTTAAATCAATCATACCAAGTGCTATTAAGTCCACCTCTTAAATACATCTTGAATTATGTCATTTTCTTCTCTGGAAAATGATATTTTCCAAAGCTACCAAATCTCTTATGCCACATGCTTTTCTGCAATGTGACCTTCACATCTCCTTGCAGGAGGTGGAGTCTAATTCTCCTCCCCTTTATCTAGTGGTCATAATGACTTGCTTGTAACCAGGGGAAATGGCAAAGATGATGGTTGATAAATGACTTACAGTTTTGCCGTGATCTGGGGATTGCTCTCTCTCCAAATGCTTCCTCTCTGAACTCAGTCTCCAGTCTTGGAGAAGCCCAAGACACATGAAGAGGCCACGTACAGGTAGTGTGTTTGACAGTCCTAGCTGAACCCAGCCTTTGAGTCACCTCAGCCCTTCAATTTTTCACAAGAATAAGGCCTCCGCCATCATAAAGCAGACAACCCATCTCTCTTGTACCGTCTGAATTCTTGACCCACAGAACAAAAATGATTGTACTTTATGCTACTAAGTTTGGAATGGTTTGTTAAATAGCAATAAACAGAACACATTCCATCCCCATTGCCCCCACCGCAGATCAAGTCATATTAACTTTTATAAAAACTACTGTAAAACCTTCTAATTAAACTCCTCCAACATTGGCTTTTGCCCCTCTGTACAGCCGTACCCCCTTACTCATGGTTTCACTTTCTGAGGTTTCAGTTACCCCCAGTCAACTGTGGTCCAAAAATATTAAATGGAAAATACCAGGAGCATTTGAGATCTTGCTCCTTGGCATATGTTGTCAGTTTGGCTCAAACTCGTAAAAAAAAGAAAGACCCTAGCCAGCTTGGCTCAGTGGTTAGAGCATCGGCTGGAGGACTGAAGGATCCCGGGTTCGATTCTGGCCAAGGGCACGTACCTCGCTTGCAGGCTCCATCCCTGGCCCTAGTCGGGACACATGAGGGAGGCAACCAATCAATGTCTCTCTCCCACATAGATGTTTCTCCCTCTCTTTCTACCTTCCACTCTCTCTGAAAAGCAATAGAAAAAATATCCTCAGGTAAGGATAAAAATTTTTTAAAAAGAGAAAATTCCAGAAATAAACTATTCATACATTTTAAATTGCGTGCTGTTCTGAGCAGCATGAGGAAATCTTCCACTGTCTAGCTCTGTCCCACCCAGAACATGAATCATCCTTTTATCCAGCATATCCACACTTTATATATTAGTCACTAGTAACTGTCTTAAGTTATCAGGTTGACCGTCACAGTATCACACGGCTTGTGTCCACATCACCTTTATTTTACTTAATAATGGCCCCAAAGCACAAGAGTAGTGATAGCGCAAGTCAGATATGCCAGAGAAGGTGTAAAGTGTTTCCTGTAAGTGAAAAGGTGAAAGTTCTTTTTTTTTAAAATATATCTTTATTGATTTCAGAGAGAAGAAAGGAGAGAGATAGATAGAAACATCAGTGATGAGAGAATCATTGATCGAGCCTGCAACTCAGGCATGTGCCCTGACTGGGAATCAAACCCCGATTGCCTGGATCCTAGGTCGATGCTCAACAGCTGAGCCACGCCCGGCCGGGCAGATGAAAGTTCTTAAGAAAAAATATCATATGCTGAGGTTGGTAAGATCTATGGTAAGAATGAATCTTCTGTGAAATTGTGAAGAAGGAAAAAAATTCATGCTAGTTTGTTGGTGCACCTCAAACTGCAAAAGTTACAGCCACTGGGGGTAATAAGTGCTTAATTAAAAGGCAAAAAATTTGTGAGTGGAATACATGCACAGAAAATGTATATACGTAATATATGAGGTTTGGTACTATCTGCAGTTTCAGGGATCCACTGGGGTTTTGGAATATAGATCTCTCAGATAAGGGGGGAACTACTGTAATTCATTTTCCCCACAACAGCCAAATCTATTTATGTCTCCTAGTTTAAACCTTTCATGGCTTGTACTACCCTTAGAATAAAAGTCCCAAATCCTCAACTTGATCCATAAAGTCCTGTTATGTGAAAAAAGAGGTTATAGGTGTGTAACCTCTTTTAAAAATATTTTTTCTTTAAATACTATCCATATATTGATGATTCTCACATATAAATATCCAGCCCACATTTCTCTCCTGAACTTTAAACACGTACACCTAATATCCCACTCAGCATTTCCACTTGGATGTCTAATAAGTATTTCAAACTGAACATGTCCACTGTATTTTCATTTCTTTTAGCTCTAGGCCTTCATTCCTGAGTTCAGCCCTGGTTCTTAAAATACAGTGCTTGCCAAGGAAGAGAATGTGTACTCTGAAGATGTACAGCCTAGTTGGGGAGCTACTAGTTACCACAGGTTTCCTTCACTACATGACAGGTTCCATGACAGAAGATTGAGAATTCAGCCCCTCCCTATACTAATCTTGCCTCTGAGCATACGATTCCTTCTGCTTGGAACACACTTCCTCTTCCCTTTCCTCCAGAAAACTTCCTCGAGCCCCCACGCCTGAGTTAGGTACTGTTCCTACAAGGCCATTTAGCACCCTACTCTTCCTCTAACACCATAATATAATTTACTTGTCTCTTTTCCCCACTATACTAAAAGCACCATGAGAGCAGTAAACTTATTTTTTCTTGCCTTTTATAAACCTAATATTTTCTATAACGTGAGTGCTCAATAAAATGCAGAAAATTGCCCAGCCAGAGTGTCGATCCATGAACCAAGAGGTCCCCGGTTCGATTACCAGTCAGGGCACATGCCTGGGTTGCAGGCTAGACCCCCAGTAGGAGGTGTGCAGGAGTCAGTGGATGGATGTCTCTTTCATCAATGTTTCTATCTTTCTATCCCTCTCCCTTTCTCTCTCTCTAAAATCAATAAAAACATTTTTTTTAAAAATGAAGAAAATGACTGATTACGATGTAACCATTAAACGAGCTGCCATTAAAAAATGTTTATTAATGTAGTTATCCACAATATATTTTTCCATGTAGAAATATAAAATGGCATGTACAATACAATATGACCCTTTAATGTTTCTTTTTTTCTTTAATCTTCACTCGAGGACATCTTTTCCATTGCTTTTGAGAGAGAGTAGAAGGGAGAGAGAAAGAGAGAGAGAGGGAAACATCGATGTGAGGCAGACACACCACTGGTTGCCTCCCACACATGCCCTGGACCGAAGCCAGGGATTGAGCCTGCAACCAAGGTATGTGCCCTTGGCAGGAATCGACCTTGGAGGAAGGGAGTGTAGACCCTTCAGTCCGTGGGTCGACACTCTAACCACTGAGCCAAACAGGCTAGGGCTGTTTTTCTTTTAATTTACTTTTATTTCCTAATTTTGTTACCTTATTTTCTTAAGGAAACCCTTATTTAATACTGTGTCAAGCACTTTTCAGTTAATCTTCACAACAACCCAGTGAGATAAGTATTACTGTCTCTATTTTAAAGATGAGGAAACTAAGAAACAAGGTTTTAAGTAACTTGCCCAAGAAACCCAGAACTCTCTAGTCAATAAGCATTCAGTACTTTGTATAATTTCTTTTTCAGTTAAGAGACAAACTTAGACATTTTAGTGTCAAGTGTCATTCCAATAGTCAATAAAGACACTTATTTTCAGGAAAAAATTCGTATTTGGACTCAAATCTACACTCACAGTATCCTTTTATATTTTTATAAGACTATTTCTGTCTCTTCACATTCTACATAGTTTTGCTTTAATTAAAGTCTATGAGAATCTCTAAACTTTTAGTAACATATATCACAGGTAATCTAGAAATAATTACAAGTATTATTTTAATATCAGAAGTCTAGAAAAACCATACTACATATATTTTACATAAACACTCTTAATTCCATAACATAAATGAAACTTAACAGTGATGACATGGCAAACTATGTCCAACGGACTACAGAACTAAAATCCAAATCATCTCTAAGAAATTCCAGTGCATTTTTTTAATCTGACAGTCACCAAAATTCAACATCTAATTAAATGAAGTTAAAACTGTCTCATGAAAAAAATACACTAAACGTAAAGTCTAGGATCTATAATTAGAATAATGAATGCTCATGGTTTGAACTAAAAATCATTTTTTTAAGATGTGAAAAAACAGCAACTTTATTCATGTTTATAGTTGTATGTTCCAGCTATGCAACTATTTGACTTTAAACTTTTAAATATCATTTACATAGAAATGGACTCAGAGTTAGACCATTCACTGTTTTGTCCCACCTACTGATATTTTTATGGACACTTTAAGGAATGTTTGACAAAAATATAATGGTACTTAGGGAGAGGCTTAATAAGGCCACTCATTTTCAGAGTTAGATTACAACTAAGCATGAAGGATAGTTATATTTAAGTATACAAGAGGTGCCTCAAAAATTTTAAATAAAATTTCCCATTCACAGTTTTCAGCACACCAATCTTTGAAACCACTCTGCCAAGCTAGTATTGAGTTTAGATAATAAAGTAAAGATAACCATTATGTCTGGGGCTAACACAAGTCTATAACCACGTATAAGAAACTTCAAAAATGGCTTCCCACTGTATATAAAATAAAATGTAAGAACATTAGTTTGAATTAAACACCTTCCATACTCTGGCCCACTTAATTATTCCTGTCTCCTTCTGGTACTGATATATAAAATCTCTGCTCCAACTAGGTTATTTCCAAAGTATATATTTTGCATCTTAATTGTAAAAATCCCAGCTCTCAGAATGACCTCCCCACTCTGCTTTCTAAATCATTCCTATTCATTCTTTACCACATGTATCCTCTGGACTCATCCCCAAACCTTGTAGCCCACAATAACCATCCTTTCTTCTGAACTTCTCCAACCACTTAATATCCAAGTCAATATCTGATAATTCTCATATGCTATTTTGACTTTCTGTATATAATCATCTTTTCTTCTTAGGCATGGAGTAACAATGAAATGGTAGCTGGTTAAGAATGTTGTGAAAAGAGAATATCAATCAGAGATAAGATTCCAAAGTTCTAGACCTTGCTCTGAGACTATGTTTGAAGTTCCTGAATGAAGTCCCTTAACTTTTTGCATAAATGAAGTCTAGGTACTCAGTCTAAGATCTTTAATGACAAATAACTATTTGTGAGAATTATTTGTATCTTCCACAGTGGGTTAAAATAGTATTTTATATGTTAAGTACAAAAAAATTATAAAATTTTTGTTGATGTGATCTGAGGAATAAAGCCAAACACCACACTTCACCAAAGCCAGGGCTCCCATGCTGGGAGATAAAAGACTGGTGACAAACTACAGAGGAGACAGTCGATGAGGAAATCTGGAATAGTCTATCAAAAAAATAAATTATTAAAGTTGAAAAAAAGTTTTGGAAAGAAAATTGCACAAGGATCTTATAAACATCTCAGTAAACTTCCATAAATAATCTTCATGGTACTAGAATGCTTTACAATTCAGTTAAACAAATATTTGATGTCTAGATAAATAGCACTATTTCAGCCTTTTCATTCCAATATAGTATAACTCTACAAATTACTCACATACAAAACGGCATACTTACTGAGATCTCTACATTTAATAGTACTATATTCAAAAGAGATACAAAGATAGTCACACGCTTCTCTCAGTTCAGGAATAGATATGCCATCAGGACAACGGATTACTCCTGTTTTATAGTAATCCTAAAAAAAGAGAAAGAAAGCAAGAATGCATAAAGCATCTGAAGCATGAGATAGCCAAAACTTATTATTAAGGCCTAGTTGTTTCACTGACTCACCCAGTCACAGATTTAACAGCAGAGGTAAGATAAAAACCTAAATCTTTCCATTATTTATACATCTCTTTTCTCTACTATATCATGCTAATTCATATGTATTTCCCCCTCTACAAATTATTTTTCTATATAACTACCACAAATTTTTTAAGTTTTTTTTAAAGGTAAGGAAGTTGAATTAACATATTTTAAGTTACCTTAAATATTACCTAAAGAACTGAGCAAAATTTAAAGTTCTTAGTAAAGAACTTCAAAGTCATATCCAAGTATTAAAATATGTAAAAGAGAACACACAATTAGATATTATTCTTCCAAATACTATCCTTTGGTGCTTCCCATATTACTATAATCAATCAATAGTAATTATTTCAATAAAATGTTATTAGGGGCTACCTCCAAATACAAGTAAGTTACTCCATAGCTGAGTAACAAAAATATTCCTTACTTGTCAACTCCACTGGGGGTGAAACGGAAGTGTGGGCAGCTGAAAGAAGCACTTCCCCCCAAATTAAGATCTGCCTCAAGGCTCCACAGTAACACAATGGAAACAAGATATCGTCTGGTACTAACAACTGGTTGTCTGAGTACTAGCAACTCAATCAAGATGAATTAAGTTGACCCTGAACACCACCACACTTAGGGGTACCAACCGTGCAGTGGAAAATCTGCGTATAACTTTTGACTGCCCTAAAACTTAATTAACAATAGTCTACTACTCACCAGGAGCCTTACCAATAACAGAGTCAATTAACACATATTTTGTATGTTATATGTATTATATACTGTATTCTTACAATAAAGCTAAAGAAAATTATTAAAATCATAAGGATGAGAAAATGCATCTACTTTATTTATTGAAAAAAATCTGCATATAAGTGGAAACAAACCTGCGTTGTTCAAGAGTCAGCTATACCTTTCCTGTCTGTACCTCAAGACTCTCACTCCCCTTTCCCCCAAAACTATTTGAGGAAACCATATTTTTAGATTGTGGCATAAACTGTCACACACTATAATGAAAGCTTTATCACTGACTTGAAGTTACAAGTAGGGACTCTATAACAGTAATTCAAATATTCCTCAAAAATAAAAAGTTAAAACCTCAAAATAAAAATAAAGGTTTAAAACAGTGATGCTAACAAATACATTTTAGAGATTAATTTTAAGTGTTCAGGAACATCCATATTGCTGATTATGTGCAATAAAATATTAGAATTCAAGTAGCCACATTCATTCTCAGATTGATTTATTTTATTTAAGAGAATTAAGGACAGAGGAAAAGCATGACTCCATATATGTTAACATTACACCCTTGAAAGAACTGCCTATGCAGACCCAAGAGATGAATCACCACCACCCTATCTATCTTCCCAAAGGTCATAAAACTCGTTTATTTATATTGTTTTTATGTACTAAAATAAAGATGAATTAAACGTTATTTAAATACATATATATATCCTACATACCTCCACAAAGATATCCAAATCGAACTCTGATTTCAATTCAAGTACTTACCAAGAAGGGGTCATATGATTAAGTCAAAACACACAAGAAACAAAAACTTACCAGAATAGCTCGAAATACAGTGGAGCCAATTCCCTCTGCCACCTCATACTCTCCCTTCTCATTGGGACGTGTAAAGTTATGTTCTCTGCCAGATCCAAACATCCTATAACAGTAAATAATTAAGAAACATATCAATAGGATACTTCCTTCATAAAGGAAAATTGATTTCATGCACAAAATTAAAAAGGAATTATAATTTAAGTATTAAATTATATCATTAAATTAGTTTAAAGAGTTTTTATCAGAAATTTATTCTGGCAAACATAATTAACAAAGGGAATATTTAAAACATTTCCTTTTTGATGGGAGGGAACAGTAGTATACAGGGGTGGGTAAAAGGAGATTTACAATTGTGAGTATATGAAACACAGTTTATTTTTGTATTATTATTTATTATTGTATTATTTTTATTATAAATGTAAGCCTACTTTTGCCCACCACTGTAGATTCCCTACAAGCAATTATCAATTGATAAAATTCAGAAGCTAAAGAACTTTCCAGCTCCTTCTCCTCAGGGGGAAAAAATATATCAACTGAGGGGGAAAGGTCACTTTTATACTAACACCAGAAGGGGGGAAAAAAAGGAAAAGGGAAATCATATTGTTTATGCCTTTTCCTTAAAACTGTGATCGTCCTTGCAAAGTTAATACTGTAATGCAGTACATACAGTAAACTACGAAAAAGCAAGATAGTATAAGCAGGTTAGTTGTTTTATTTTTCACAATCTTAACCTCAAATGTAAAAAATCTTGCTCAAAATTCTTACACTTGCATCCCAGAATTGAAAAATTAGCCATCAAATGCTGGGGCAGACAGGAATAAAGAAGTTAAGAAGAGAATAAAAAGATGAAACAAATAAGTAAAAAGCTCTTAATATTAATTTATACATAAGAAAAATACAAATGGACATATTTTTTCAGGTCATGTTATTGGCTTTTAACAGTAACCATTTAGAAAAGAGGCAATTTGCAAAATATGTCCTTCAAAAAAAAATTTAATGCATTACTCACAAGAAAAATTTTATTTACTTATTTATTTTTAAGTAAATAAAATTTTTATTTTATCACCCGAGGATATTTTTCCCATTGCTTTTCAGAGAGAGTGGAAGGGAGAGAGAGAAAGAGAGAGAAACATCGATGTGAGAGAGAGACATTGATTGGTTGCCTCCCACAGGCCCCCTGACCTGATTGAACCTGGGACCCTTCAGTCCTCGGGCCGACGCTCTAACCACTGAGCCAAAACTGGCTAGGGCCCAAGAAAAATTTTAAAGTGTGATTAAAGAAAGTAAGACCTCCTCCAAAAACATCTACTCCAGAGATTTCCATATCTGAGCATTCCACTGATGACAAAATTTCAGAACAAATTTGGGGGGCTGCCAAAAGTTTGCGAATAAGTTAGGGCATTTATGTACCATCTGCTATTACTATCTTTTCATAAAAGGCAGGACATTCTAACAAGAAAAAATGAGGAGGAGATAATCTCTGAATAAATGATAATCCTTAACTACATGGGGAAAAAAAGTAGAACGTCTGAACCTGATACCACCATTAGTAAAGTAAATATGGCTGATCTAAGTATTCTACTCAACAATTTCCCAATTTAAATGGTTTCTCTTTTTGTTATAACATATAAACCTATGAAGAACAAAGCTTTTCTATTTCACTTTCCAAAAGAATGCAACTGCTTTTTACAGTCCCCATGAATATTAATTTTCAACCCCAAAGATATGCTTTGTTCAATTCACATGAAAAGAAACCTTCACTGATGTAAAAAGGACAGTCTTTCAGGAATCAAATGTCATGCAATTTTCTCTAACACTTGAACTTTTTACAAAAGGAGGAAACTACTTTTCAGGTCAATATAGACACACACAAAATATATATATTGGATTTTTTTTTTTCAAGAAAACATGGCTTAGCAGCTGAAGCAAAATATCAAATACCTACTTTTTAACTTTCTTTAAAGTGCAGGTAAAAAATAAAGTATTAACAGTGTCAAGTCATCCTCCTAATAGCTTCCATCAAATAATCTACTGAAAAATACATAAAAGCCTACAGTTCAGGTATTTTTATCTCACAGATGCAAAGCCAATGGTAAAAGAAAATATTTATCTACTCATATGCGGGCATTTATTCTGTATTCAGAGACTGGCAAATCTCTCTGTCTCTCTCACACTCACACTCACATACACACACACACACACGAAAGTACGCATGTATCCCAAATATTCATATGTAACCTAAAAACAAATTTTTTTTTACCTCATGTAAACTTCTACTTCATATACATGCCCTCTCATTTTATATTAGAGCAAAGAGAAAAAGATAATAACTTTAAAATTAAAAGGTATTCAATCCTAGTTTTGGAAAAGTTGAAAAATGAAGTCTATATTTTCTGTATCATTCTTAGATTGCAGTTCCAATAACTACGAACTTTACATTAATCTGTTACTCTATATGAGCACAGATGAGAAGATGACTATTTCTAATTCTTTTTATTTTTTAATTTTAAAGAAAGGAATTTAGCCCAGCCAGGCGTGGCTCAACAGTTGAGCATCAACCTAGGATCCAGGCAATCGGGGTTTGATTCCCGGTCAGGGCACATGCCCGGGCTGCAGGCTCCGTCCCCAGTCGGGGGTGTGCAGGAGGCAGCCAATCAGTGACTCTTTCATCACTGATGTTTCTATCTCTCTCTCTCCCTCTCCTTTCCTCTCTCTGAAATCAATAAAGATATATTTTTAAAAAAAGAAAAAAAAACAAAAACAATGGACATCTGTTATTTTTAAAAAAACAAATTTATTTTGTTAATCCTCACCTGAGTACATTTTTTCCAATAATTTTTTTTTTTTTAGCCAGAGTGAAAGAGAGGTAGGGAGGGGGAGAGAGAAAAAGAGATTGAGATTGAGATTGAGAGAGAGAGAGAGACATATCAATTGGTTGCCTCCAGCATGTACCCTGACCGGGGCCAGGGATCAATCCTGCAACCCAGGTACGTGCCCTATGACCAGGAAATCGAACCTGTGACCCTTCAGTGGATGGGCCAATGCTTTAACCACTGAGCAACACCTGCTAGAGCAAAGATGACTACTTCTAATGACTACTTCTCCATTCTACTAACTACTGTTAAGAACATTCATTTTTTTAAGTATCAATATCAAACTGACAAATGCTGACTTTTTAGCTAACCAAATTGTTGGGTCGTTTTCCCTTTCAACAAGACCAATACCTGCTGTATTTGATGGCTGAATTTGGGAGTCCCAGGTAAAGAAACATTGCCACTGTTAAATTTACCTTGTTTTGATGAAATCTATGGTTTCAGCCTGCAGAAATCTTTTAGTATCCTGTCTTCATTAGCTAATACATTTACTATTCTGACTGGTACAGCAAAGATTGTTAGAAATAAAATCATGTTCAAAAACTGTCTCTACCACTTTCTAGCTGTATTAACTTGAGCAAGTTATTTAACCTTCAAAAGCTCAGTTCTTTCATCTGTAAAATAGGAACACTACATTCCAACATAGGATTACTGTAAACTTAAATGAAAGAAAAAAAAAGAAATAATGTATAAGTGTTTTAAAATTAATAGTACAAAGAACTGCAATAATACAAACCTGCCCAACATTGTATTTGGCTGTGCAGTAAAAATGGATGGGTCTACAACAAATCTAGTATTATCCACTATTAGTGTCACTCGTTCTGATGTTCTTATATTCCGAGCTCCTTCTTTTGCATTCTCATATACAAACACCATCTCCGCAGATGTCTTACAGCTACCATCTGAACTTGACTGACTACTATTTCTGCTGCTGTTCCCAGCGCTGCTACTAGAACCATTTGGAGATGCTCTTTGAGGACGAGGACTGCCTGGACGAGAGGAACTGTGATCTTTTTCTCGTTCTGAAATAAAGATGTTAAACAAAGTCATGCAAATTTTCTTTTAAAAAATCCAAGATCCATATATAGCTTTCAAAATATTTTTATTTAGAAAACTTGTTTTAAATCACAGCATTCCAGCTTTTTATCTCAAATAACATTTTCACAGAACACCATAAATATTTCCCAGGAATAAAAACATCAAAATGTTTTCTAAAATAATAAATCTTTATAGACTTTTCAAAAAATGTATAGCTTACTAATATTGACCCACACTAAGATCAAAATTAAGGTAAATTTTATGTTATTACTCTACTTAAAAATATATAGAAACCCAAGGAGCAGAATCACAAGTCAAATAAGTAAACGCTGAAAGTTAGTAAAAGATTAGTAAGAATACCAATTTAAACTCCCTTAAATACTAAAAGTATTCATACTATTCTGAGAACAAAAAGTACAAATTCTGGAATATTGCTGTGTTAATAAAGGCATTTTGAAACCAGCAATTTATCTCACAAAAGGAAGGTCTGATAGAAGAAAAAAAGTTGAAGAAAAAAAGTTGAATAAGGATAGCAAGAAGTATTTATTTTTTCAAATGATTTTTAATGTCTAATTATGTGGCTTTAATAGCTGATGATATGTTGCTTTCTTTTCATTTTCACTTTTGTTGAATAAAGCACTGCTACAAGTTTTATAGGATCACATAATTATTATTTATAATTTTAATAGGTAGGTTTCAACATTCTATAAAGGAGAAATTAAAACTAAGATTTTGTGATTAAGTTTCCTTTAGAGGCTAGATCACTACACTTTAAAGGTGACCTAAAATGTACCTCCATCCCCTCAGTTCCATCAGCTTTTGCCAAATTCCTCCATGACTCAGGCTACTTAGAACACTCTGTACAGTTTTACTGATTATATAATTAGATCTGCAGTATCTCCAGAGATACTCTGACACCTCCGTTTTATTGCCTGTTTCCACAATGCTGGTAGCACCCCAAAAGCAGAATTTGCTAAAGTAATAAAATAATTATATCCTTCTACTATTTTCCCATATACTGAACTTTGCATATAACAGACTAAATCTCTTATTCACTTTTTTTGGCTTATCAGTACTAGTTTGACTTTAAGGACCTACTTAGATATTGTCAACTTCTACACATACTTAGACCCTAACAGAAATGATTTTGCTTTGTAACAATCAGAAACTACCTCATATAGTAAGTCAAGGTATTAATTTGGCCCTTCCCAGAGTAAAATGAAAATGAGCAAGTTCACATTGCTTACATATCTCTGCTTTAGACTAGTGTTTTATAGTCACACACATTCATTTATAGCAATGGGTAGGAAGAGAGAGATCTGAGCTAGTTGCCAAGAAAGCAAAACACTTCACACTTTCTCTTTCATCTTCTATTCTTTTTTAAAATATATCTTGATTGATTTCAGAGAGAGGTAGGGGGAGAGAGAGGGAGGGAGAGGGAGAGAGAGAGAGAAACATCAATGATGAGACAGGCATTGATTGGCTGCCTCCTGCATGCCCCACACTGGGGATTGAGCCCAAAACCCAGGTATGTACCCTGACCGGAAATCGAACCAGGATCTCCTGGATCATAGGTCAACGGTCAACTACTGAGCCATACCAGCTGGGCTCATCTTCTATTTTTATTATTAAATATATTGTCAAAAATCAAAATAAATTACTCTGATGGTTATTCTAGCTTTTAATTCCTTTTTCTAGGATGATTAAATAAGACTTCCTATCAATAACTACTATTAGTAATAGTAAATTTATTATTTATATTTCTAGTAAATTTATTACTGATATTTATTTTTACATTAATTTTTTTTTAAATATACCTTTATTGATTTCAGAGAGAGGAAAGAAGAAGGAGAGAGACAGAAACATCAATGATGAGAGAGTCATTGATCGGCTGCCTAGCCCGCAACCTGGGCAGAGAGAGAGACTCGAACCCCGATCGCCTGGATCCTAGCCCTGACCGAGAATCGAACCCCGATCGCCTAGATCCTAGGTCGACGCTCAACCGCTGAGCCACGCCCAGCCGGGCTATTTTTACAATAATTTACAAACTATTTTAAAATAAACCACTGTATATATCTCGTAAGATAAAAATCAATTTGAAAAAATTTGAAACCTACATATCAGAATTATAAAGGCTTTTCAAATTACTTCTTTAATAAGTCTGTCCCAGATTCTTTAAAAAATTCATTTTTAGGTTTCATTTGATATGTTGCAGTTTTTTTTTTTCTTCACAGCAAGAACCAAGCTAAGCTAAAATAGAAGCAACTGATTAAAAGTAAAAGTTAATTTTTCTCTGAAGTATTAGCCACAATTCATTGCAGTTACTACTTTAAAAAGGTAAATGCATACTTCAAAAATTGTTAGAAAGATTAGTTGATCTACATACCAACATGGTGCTGTCGTGTTGGAGAAGTGACATTTCTAATACAAGGAGTGAGTTGAGACTCTGTTCTTTCATGAGATGAATCTCGTGATCTGTCACTTGACCTTCGTCTATCTCTTGATCTCTCATGTCCCCCACTAGCACCATGTAGACTCATTCTGGTGTGGTCGACAACTCCTTTAGCAACACGTGAGGGAGTACTAGTAAGTTACAAAAGAAAATTAACCATAAAAATAGAACATGAAACACAAACACTTAAAAAAAGTCAATTAACATAAAACTAATATTTTGAAGGGCAAGAATCAAATGCTACTTTACAATTCTGAAATCAACCTAATCTACCTCAAACTTCTGTTTTATAAAATCTGGGGCACTCTATCTTTAAAGATCACATAATCCAACTCAGTTTTAAGGATAAGAAAACTAAAGCCTAGAAAGGTTAATTGACTTTTGAGTAAGTAGTAGTAGTATTAGTAGCAGCAGCAGCGACCACCCAAATCACCTAAATATTATTCAAATATTCTTTTGATTTCATTGACTGTGGGAGAAAAAGAGAGAGAAAAGAGGTTATTAAAAAAAAATAAATAAACCAGTTTCTGGAACTCTTACTGAGGTGTGGGGCAAAGGAACAGCTCTCTCTGCCACATAAAATAAGTCTACATGCTAACTTCAATCAACACATTTTGATTTTGACTGCTCTTTTGGACATTTTTTAAAACATTTCTCTAAAAAGCCTACCAGCATCAGCTGTGTAAAGTCACAGAATTTAAAATTTTAAAACATCATATGTAGAGTAAATTTGCCCATGAGACGTGAATAATGGAGAATGACGACTAACTCAAATTGTCTCGTTGGTAGAGTCACACAATTACTTATTAAGCTATACATACAATGCTACGATACATGCAGTACAGAAGCTCCTTCAGGGAGCGTGATTTAAGTGTAGCAGTAATACATAAACATGTACAATTCAAGAGTTATCCTAAATTTCAAATATAAAATGACTAAATATATCTCAATATGTATATAACTAATAAACAAATGATAGATAATAAATGCTTTAAGATCACAGAAGAAGAAATCATTGTCAATTAGTTACTGGTGAACTAGGCGCTGACAAATAGATAAGATTTTAATAATAAGAATACATTGCAGGTAGGAAAACTGACTAACAAAAATGAGAGAGCCAGACCTAAGGTATTTTGGAAATTTATCATTTTGGTATATGCCATGGTTCATGGTTTTAAAATATGAAAGTGTATTATAGAAATAGAAGGAACAGAAGGAACTTCATGGCTTTAGTATAATAAAGACTTAGAACCAAATTGTCCTTTAATAGGTAATTGCTCGACATGTTGAATATTACCTAACATTTTGGAAGCTTAGTTTTCTCATCTGTAACATGTAGATCCTATTTACTTTCTAATGTTAATATGAAGATTAAATGAAGTATAAATAAGCTGACTAGCCTTTTGATTCACTCCAGTGCCCCTTCCATAATATTACTCTGCTCCCCTTCACTATTTAAAATTTAATCTTCCACTAAAATGTGGTTTCTTTCATTATGAAAATCAGTTATCACTTCACTGTAACAGACTACAAAGAAAAAAGACAGGGCTGACTTTGTATTTACCCTAAGAGTTACTTCTAGGGAAATAAAGGCAACCAACCTATCAGCCTTTATCAGTCATTTGTCTCTCATAAAACTATAGAAAAGAAAAATTCTACTCCCACCTTCTTTCTACTGAAAAAGATCAGAGTAGGATTGTATCTTTGGAACATATTCTTTTTCTTGAAACAGAACAAATCAAAAGATTCTACTGCATTTACGTTAAAAACTTTAGAAACAATGGATTTTCTGATTCATGTCCTAAACTAGGAAATAGAAAGGAATCTGTACAAATATTAACAAGGATTAAAAAAAGTAACTCCTCAAATTCTTCTAGCTGCTACGTTATAAATGTGCTAAGCACATTTTCTAATAAGAATCTAATTGACAATTTAATATACAGTGTACAAACACGACGACAACTAAGGCAAATGCAGGATAAATGTTCAGTTTAAGTAAGGGCCAAGAAGGCTGATTAATTGAAAACACATTTCAACTAGACATCTTTGTAGCTAAAAGATGAACTACTGCTAAGCATTCTCTTGAAATATTGGCTTCATTTCTAAATTGTTTAGATTTTAAGTGAATGCAAAAGATATAATACACTTTCATCCTTTCTTTTCATTCCCACATGGAATGCACACTGAATCAGACCTTCAGAGTCAAATTGTCATGAAAGACTAATTATGTCCTACTCTATTTAATTCAATAATTTTAGATCAGGAAAGCAATCTAAGAGTAAAAATAATGCATACAAAATAAAATGAGGACGAGCAAGTTCAGAGGAGATATTTCTGCTTCATGTTGCATTTAAAAGAATTTGATACACATTAATTGAAGGCAGGTAAGGAGATGAAAAGTATATCAGCCTCCAAATCTGCTTCAAGCCAACAAAGTAACAACGACTGTGGTTCTTCACCTGGTGAGGTGACCTAAACCCTCATTCCTGAAGTGTCAGGGCAATTAGCAGTGCTACCTGGATTGGGTTTTTATAGTTTTCCATCGACCTTAATTACAGGGTATGGTAATACTAAGAAATGCCCTAAGGGATTGTCTGTATTCTTCCACACCTCCACTGTGGAGTAGTAGTCCAATTTTCCCTTGTTAGTCAAGAGCAATCACCCTAGCCAGCACAGTAACTCCCTTCTTTGCCTAGAAATGAAGAGGAATCAGGATCCCAAAGTGGCCAGCAGGGTAGCAGTATTAACTTCCAGCTCAATGGAGGCATTGTGGTGACTCCTGACAGAAGCATTCCTACCTTCTGGAATCAAGATCTCTAGGCCAGCAGAGTATAAGGTCCAGGGAACAGAAAGCAAAAATTTTGCTAATGGTTCACTAGGGGTAATAGTGAGTGGTACTACTCCCATTTCCACTCCTTGATTCCTGAACCCATGAATCCAGGCTATAAGGAAAAAAACACCATATACTGGATGTTGATTTAGTATGAAAGTTCCTCAAAAAGTTAAAAATAGAACTACCATATGATCCAGCAATCCCACTTCTGGAAGGATATCTAAAGGAAAAGAAATCACTGTCTTGAAAAGATATCTGTACCTCCATGTTCACTGCAGCATTATTTACAATAGCCAAGACATAAAATCAACGTAAGTGTCCAGTGACGGATGGATAAATAAGTTGTGGTACTATATACAGTGAAATATTATTCCATTTGCAACAGCATGGATGAACTTTGAGGGCATTAAGCTAAGTGAAATAAGTCAGACATACAAAGATAAATATTGTATGATCTCACTTATACATGGAATCTAAAAACTGAACTCAAACAGAGAAGAGATTGGTAGTTGCCAGGGATGAGGGGTAGGGGTGTAAGAAATGGGTGAAGGTGATCAAAAGGTACAAACTTACAATTATAAGAAGAGTAAGTTCTGGGGATGTAATATACAGCATGGTGACAATGGTTAACAATACTGTATTGTGTATTTTAAAAATGCTGAGAGAGTGGATCTTAAAAGTTCTCACCACCACCAAAAGAAAAAGTATCTACGTGAGAGGACAGATATGCTAACTAACCTTATTATATTAATCATTTTTGCAATATACACATATATTAAATCAATACATGTAGATCTTAAAACTTACACAATATCATATATCAATTATATCTCAACAAAGCTGAGGGGAAAGAGAAAGAACAAAATTACCTAGATGCCCAAAAATAAGGAATCAGTCAACTAAATTATGGCACATCTATATGGTGATAAAATGTTATTCAGCCATTTAAAAAAATGCAATAGACAAAAGAATATATGCACCCCTATGTTCACTGTAGCATTACTTACAATAGCCAAGATATGGAAGCAACCCAAGTGCCCATCAATACACAAGTGGATAAAAAAAGTAGTGGTATACCCTGGCTGGTGGCTCAGTTGGTTGGAGCATTATCCAGTCTCTCTCTCCCACTTCTTCCTTCCTCTCTCTAAAATCAATAAATATATCCTCCAGTGAGGACTAAAAAAAAAGTGGTGGTGCATTTACACAGAAAACAACAACAACAAAGTAACAAGTACTAAATTTACTCTCCTGTCTGAAACAACTCCTCAAAATGGACAAAATATATGAAACAATTGTTTGCAAGACATAGTACACCACTGTCTAGTAATCCCTCAAAGATGAAAAACAAATGAGATAAGCCCAACAACTGTCCAAATTATTAACCTTAAGAGAGTTTCCAGAGTAAACATAAGGAAGCAAAACCCAGGCAAAACCTGGTGAACTCTGAGTTTAAGATATGGAGTTGAGGGGTTTGGGACAATAAGTGGCTAGAGTTCTCAGGAAAGAGTTCTAGAGAGGGGAAGCAGCACAGACAGAAAACCTCAGGGATCTACAGTGGGTTTTCTTCGAATACTGAGCTTAGTACCAATCAGCATACCCTTATGAAGAAACTACATAAGGCTGGAAAAAGAACCAACTCAACAGATTAGAGGAAACAGTTCCTAGGACTCATAAAGAACCCATTTCTCCCAATCAGGCTGGAAAACCTCATAATTCCTAGGGCACTGGGGAGAGAGTCTAAAGGATCTTGGCTCTGAAACAGGAAATAATTAGACCTAAACTGAGCACCGCTCTAGTCACATCTAATAAATCTAAAACAAAGCTCAAGAATATCTATAGGAATAAAAAAATATCCAGCACCCAACAAGATAAAATTCACAATGTATGGCATCCAATAAAAAATTACCAGGTATGCAAAACAGCAGGAAAACAAAACCTATAAGGTTTTTCTTGTTTGGGACTCTTGGTGCTTCCTAGACTTGTATGTCTACTTCCTTCATCATGTTAGAGAAATTTTGTCATTATTTCTTCAAATAGGTTTTCCATTCCTTTCTCTCACTTCTTCTGGTACCCCTACGATATGAATGCTGGTATGCTTGATGTTGTCCCAGAGGTCCCTTAAACTATCCTATTTAAAATTTCCATATATATATATATTCCCCCCCCCCC